TATGAATATTTCGACTTCTTTCAATCTTCATTAAATTGCAGAAGACAAGGCTGATAAAGTATGTAAGCGAATTCTTCCAACGTCGCCGCAACGTGTCAATGCAATATGTTTGTCCTCGATGGATTAACAATAGTAATTTACACAGATACAGTTACTTTCCATCGAAATGAACGCGTATTACAGTCAAGTTCGTGGAAATGTCAAACGTGAGTCACACATTGATTGACTCGAGTTCTTCAAACTGTTCGACACAAAATAACTCTTCACTTAGCATTGACGTTATCGATCCGGTAGAACTTTCGTCCAATACGATGCGCTGATCGTATACATTGCGGAAGCAATGCTCGAATGAATTTCACGAGATTGCGAGACGAGTAACGAGATTAATCGAGACTGTTCCAAGAAGAGGAAGAACAAAACAACCGACTGACGACGAAAGATTAAGATACCGATTCTTCAAACCATTCATCCGTCGTAACCCGTAAGCTTTACGGGAGTGTTTGAATTTCAGTTCATCGCTTCAATTCTGGCTGCCAAGATGAACCCGGATAATCAAGGCAGACGTGGATTTAATCGCGTGCAAATGCGACCGGGAATCATACATGCATGCTCATATGCTTTTCTTTTTCGTTGAATATTTCATGGCGAGCGAACATAAAAACGCTTTCATCCTGAACATACCCGATCATCAAGCGCTAAGACGGTTGATATATATATATATATATATATATATTTCTTTGCCTTTGCTGTCTATAGAACAGAAACCGAGAAATCGAGTGGAATCTGTATACATTATGAAGTACGATGCAAAGGACAGCCGATTTTTATTTCTGATCGCGGCCCCAGTTATTTAATCAACATTAACAACCAGAGAGATCAGTCAAAGTGAGACAGACAGAGGAGCAAATTACAAGGGGGAGAAAGTTACCAAAAAAAAAAAAAAAAAAAAGAGCGGATCAACGGGAATAAGAAACCCTTGCCCGTGGGCTACGTAAATGGGAGAACGTTCCCTCGTTCGAGCGACTTTCACGTTCATGCGTGTTACCAACCATCGATCATAAAACCACCGATACAAAATGGAAACGTGTCGATACATATTTTAAGGCCGACCTATAAGATTGACCGCAAGAACTGCTCGTTATCATGAAGCCACTACGTACCGTTGACCTTTCGCAGATCGATTTCTTACAAATGGAACGGAATCCTCTCCAAAGGCGAACGTCACGTGACATATATCTAGCATTTTAATAAAAAACGGATACAGGTCATATTTGAGAAACAAGGTGATCAATGGCACAAATTATACAATATCGTTGCCCCTACATTACAATACTACATCATACAACATAGTTTTGAGATTCGTCAAAGGCTAGATCAGTAGCATCGGTATTATTCAGAAATCTGAAAAATTATTCAATGGCAATATACAACAATGATGTTGTTGTTGTTATTATTATACAATGGATTCAAGAAATTCTGACGAAGGTGAAGAGATTATGTTAAAAGTGCTTACATTTTTCAACATGGTCTGAAATTACAATATGATTCGAAATATAAAACAGAGAAATTGCAGGCGATTTAAATTACTTTGGAACGAAAATCACAGTGATAATGTGAAATGTAAATTGACCAGACGAAATAATAAATTAAATGACGATAGCCAGTTTATAAAAAGTAGAGTTCAATATCCCGATCAGGACGCACGCAAATATGATTGGCATACATGCATATGTAACGCATTACGCCTACCATTACATCATCTGTGGCGTGTGTTCTCAGCAGCATGCAGTGCTAGCAACCGTGAAACGAAGGTCGCGAAGTAGTTGACGTGACAATGACCCATTCTGTTTGTCGTATTTGATTCTTGTTTTCTATCGGGATTTGGAAACTTATTCGCGAGAATGATAACAAACGCAAGTACTCTCATTCCAAACAATAAGCGGCGAATTATTAAAAAAAAAAAAGAAGAAGAAAAAAAGAAGACTCGAAAACAAGTTGTTGATTAATAAAACGGTTTTAATGACTCGAAAATATTTTCAGGCAATGTGCGTACAAAGCAAGCAACGACAACGCGTAATGCAGCATTTTTATTTGATAAACAGACGTATTCAACTTCGAATGCTGGCCGAAGGCAATTTAACGGTCATATTCCAATTTATCATTTATGCAATCCAATTGTAAATATGACTCATGCGAACGCGGTATTGTTTGAACATTGCTCTCTGATATATCGCAATATATATTATGTAGATACGCGAAAGGTAACTATCCTGAAAACATTTCTCCACAGATATTTGTCGATATTGTCGATTTGTCGAAATAAAAAAATATTTGAACTTTCTCTACTGTGTTTAACGAAACGTGTGTGTTTCG